TGCCCGGCTGATGATGCCCTCTTCCCATCCCCACACTAAGGGCCAGGACAAGCGGAGGGCAGCATGGTACAGTGAAGTGAAGGTGACAGGACAAATGACAGCGGCAGAGAGCGGGGAGGAGGTGCGGGCTGTGCTCTGCTACTGTCATAAGATGCTCTTCTATACAGCAGATGAGAAGGGGTCGCTCTTACATCGGCTGTACACTAAATGTACCCACCCCCTACCTATGTGTTCTGCTGCTGGGAGATAAGTTTGTGGGTAATGAAAGAGCGATCTCATGTAAGAGCGACCCCTTCTCATCTGCTGTATAGAGGAATAGAGGAGCGATCTTAAAGCAGGATGGGAGAGCACAACACAACTTGCACCACCTCCCAGCTCTTGAGGGGGAGTGGACCTTAAGTCAGGAGAATTGTATACAGTTGCAAGAAAAAGTATGTGAACCCCTTGGGATTACGTGGAGTTTTGCATGAATTGGGCATAAAATGTGCTCTGAACGTCATCTAAGTCACAACAATAGAAGAACACAGTCTGCTGAACATAATACTACACAAACATTAGATGTTGCCATGGTTTAATTTCACATAACATGTAAACATTCACAGTGCAGGGAGGAAAAAGTATGTGAGGCCCTAGCTTAATGACTTCTCCCAGAGCTAATTGGAGCCAGGAGTGAGCCAACCTTGACTCCAATCAGTGTGATGATATTGGATGTGTTGCTGACAGCTGTCCTGCCCTTAAAAAACACACACCTGTTTTGGGTTTACTGGTTTCAAGAAGCACTGTCTGATGTGAACCATGCCTCGCAGAAAAGAGCTCTCAGAAGACCTACGATCAAGAATTGTTGACTTGCATGAAGCTGGAAAGGGTTACAAAAGTATCTCCAAAAGCCTTGATGTTCATGTGTCCACGGTAAGACAAACTGTCTACAAATGGAGAAAGTTTAGCACTGTTGCTACTCTCCCTAGGCGTGGTCGTCCTGTAAAAATGACTGCAAGAGCACAGCGCAGAATGCTGCATGAGGTAAAGAAGAATCCCAGAGTGTCAGCTAAAGACCTACAGAAATCTCTGGCACATGCTAACATTTTTGTTGACACATCTACAATAAGGAAAACATTAAACAAGAATGGAGTACATGGGAGGACACCACGGAGGAAGCCATTGCTGTCCAAAAAGAAGATTGCAGCACGTTTGAAGTTTGCAAAAGAGCGCCTGGATGTTCCACAGCACTACTGGCAAAATATACTGTGGACAGATGAAACCAAGATTGAGTTGTTTGGGAAGAACACACAACACTATGTGTGGAGAAAAAAAAGGCACAGCACACCAACATCAAAACCTCATCCCCACTGTCAGGAATGGACTCAGCACTGGTGGTGGGACTCACCTGCCGTGTGGGCTGCAGTACCAGGGCTGACCAGCGGGTGCTCTCAGCAGCCAGAAGCTCACTTCTGCAGTCAGCCAACACCTGGGGCTGATTACAGCAGGTGTATTTAAGGAATGACCAGGCCTGTGATCTGTGCCTTGGTGTAAATGTTTCCCATGAGCCCTTGTATCCTGTTCCTGTGTTGCTGTATACTCCATTGCCGACCTCTGCTTGTTACTGATCCTGCTCTTCTCCTGTTTAAACCCCTGGCTTGCCTGACTACTCTTCCGTCTGATCCCTGGTACTGTATTTGCTCGCACCCTGCTGAACCTGGCTTGTGACCTGACCATTCATAGCTCGCTCCTCTTGTACCTCGCTGCCCGCATAATACCGACCCGGCCTGTCTGACCACGCATACTGTACCCGACCATCCATCGGATCAGACCAGTGTATCTGTCTGCCTCTTCCAAATTAGATTCCGTTCCTGCACTCCCGTCAGTACTCTCAACCACCGCAGGTCGCACTCGGGGGTCGCGACCTGGTTCCAGTCTGCACCAAGTCCATCCCCACCATCAGGGGCCCTGGTGAACAGCAGCTGGGACTTAGACCCCGCGCCCTGAGGGAGTCCGTGCGGTGGGCTGCTAGAGACTCTGCCAGGCGGCTTAACAGTACCAAACGGCCTGCCTGACCATTCCACATCTCCAGCCCTGACTACGCCTGTGTTCTTGAAGCCTGCTACTTCCCTGTGTCAGTCCACACATTTGGTCACACTCGGATCCTAACACCCACTGTAAAACATGGCGGAGGGAGCATCATGTTTGGGGCTGCTTTGCTGCCTCAGGGCCTGGACGGATTGTTGTCATTGATGGGAAAATGAATTCCAGAGTTTATCAAGACATTTTGCAGAAAAACGTACGACTATCTGTCCGCCAACTGAAGCTCCGCAGAGGATGGGTGATGCAACAGGACAATGACCCAAAGCATACAAGTCATTCAATAAAACAATGGCTGCAACAGCACAGAATACGCCTTCTGGAGTGGCCCAGTCAGGACCTCAACCCCATTGAAATGCTGTGGCATGACCTTAAGAGAGCGATTCACACCAGACATCCCAAGAATATTGCTACACTGAAACAGTTTTGTGAAGAGGAGTGGTCCAAAATGACTCCAGATCGTTGTGCAGGTCTGATCTGCAACTACAGGAAACGTTTGGTTGAGGTTATTGCTGCCAAAGGAGGGTCAACCAGTTCTTAAGTCCAAAGGTTCACATACTTTTTCCTCCCTGCACTGTGAATGTTTACATGTTATGTGCAATTAAACCATGGCAACATCTAATGTTTGTGTAGTATTATGTTCAGCAGACTGTGTTCTTCTATTGTTGTGACTTAGATGACGTTCAGAGCACATTTTATCCCAATTCATGCAAAACTCCCACGGAATCCCAAGGGGTTCACATACTTTTTCTTGCAACTGTACAATGAGGGTGGGGGGGGGGCTTGGAACTGGGGCTAAGAGGGGGGATTTGTGGGACTGTATTTGTGCTTGAAGAGGAGATTGGGGGGTATTTGTGTGGGAAGGGGGATTAGGCTAAGAGGGGTATTTGAGCTAGAAGGAGGGAATTGTGATAAAAGGGGGGGGGGGGGTTGTGCTAGGAGGGGAGATTTGTGGGAGAGGATTTTTGCTGGGAAGGGGGATGAGAGGGGATTGGCATAAGAGAGGGATTGTGGGTGGGGGGTTTAAACTAGGAAGGGGTAGGGCAATTGGGTTAAAAGGGGGATTGGGGGAAATTTGGGCTACAAGGGGAGATTTGTGGGACAGGATTTGTGCTGGGAGGGGAAATTGGGGGTGAGGATTTGTGTGGGAAGGGTGACTGGGGGATTTGTGCTAGAAGGGATTTGTGCTAGGAGGGGGGATTTGTGTGTGAGAGGATTTCAGCTGCAACATTCAGATTGGTAGGGTCAGAATTTGGCATAGACAACATGAAAGCATGGATCATACTGCCTTGTATCAATGGTTCAGGCTGGTGGTGATGTCATGGTGTGGTGGATCATACTGCCTTGTATCAATGGTTTTCAGGCTGGTGGTGGTGTCATGGTGTGGTGGATCCATACTGCCTTGTATCAATGGTTCAGGCTGGTGGTGGTGTCATGGTGTGGTGGATCCATCCTGCCTTGTATCAATGGTTCAGGCTGGTGGTGGTGGTGTCATGGTGTGGTGGATCCATACTGCCTTGTATCAATGGTTCAGGCTGGTGGTGGTGTCATGGTGTGGTGGATCCATCCTGCCTTGTATCAATGGTTCAGGCTGGTGGTGGTGTCATGGTGTGGTGGTGGATCCATACTGCCTTGTATCAATGGTTCAGGCTGGTGGTGGGTGGTGTCATGGTGTGGTGGATCCATACTGCCTTGTATCAACGGTGGTTCAGGATGGTGGTGGTGTCATGGTGTGGTGGATCCATACTGCCTTGTATCAATGGTTCAGGCTGGTGGTGGTGGTGTCATGGTGTGGTGGATCCACCACACCATGACACCACCACCGCCAGCCTGAACCGCTGGTGCAGTAGATCAGCAGTTTTTGAAACACTCAGACCAGCCCGTCTGGCACCAACAACCATGCCACGTTCAAAGTCACCTAAATCCCCTTTCTTCCCCATTCTGATGCTCGGCTTGAACTTCAGAAGTCGTCTTCACCACGTCTAAATGCCTAAATGCATTGAGTTTGCTGCCATGTGATTGGCTGATTAGCAATCTGTGTTACCGACCAATAGAACAGATGGAGCTAATAAAGTGGCTAGGGAGTATCCATCCCCAACAGTAGACCGGGGGGGGGGGGGGGGGGGGGGGGGGGGGGGGGGGGGGGGGGGGGGGGGGGGGGGGGGGGGGGTGTTGGTGGGGGTGTTGGTATACAGAGAGGGGGGGGATAGTGCTCACAGGCAGGGCCGCTGCTAGAAACCACAGGGCCCCATACAGCCAACCTGACGGGGCCCTGCTCCCTCTCCCAAAAAAAAGACTGTTTACTATGCTTCAGTTCAGTAATGATCACTCATTGTGTTCATTCAGGAAAGGAAAGGGCTGGCAAATGTGACATACTTACTGGACCCCTGTCCCACTCTCCAAAGATCCTACTGTGTGCTTGCAGCTGGCGGTGGGAGAGTGAGGAGGGAAGCCGGCAGCACTGTGGGGGGGGCACACAGGGGGGCTTGGGCAGCAGGGGGAAACGTATGATGCACAGCTTAAAGCCGGCTTCTTCTCCTCTCCCTCTCGCTGGCTGTCAGCTGCTGTAGAGATCCAATACAGGGGATCGGTTGCAGTAATTGCCCTCCATGCTGTGCTAAACACCCTCCCTGCCCACATCCAATTCACCTAGTTGCCTGGGCCCCCCTGCTGGCCTGGGCCCCATACAGCAGGACTGGTGTTACCCCCTTTTCCACAGCCCTGCTCATAGGCCTTGATAGCAGGGAACCTTCACCAATCCCACCGCTGTGATTTAAAATCGTGCGATTTGTGTGCAATTTCAACGCGATTTCTGAAGACTTTATTGCTACTTGTGAAGATTTTGAACGATTTCTTGCAATTTGCATGATATTCCATGTATGTGAAATCACAACAAAACTGTTCCTGCGACCATCAGCACTCACCTGGTGATTTCTTCTTTTAGAGCCGCTGGGTCTGGAGGATAGAACTTCACTCGAAAGCACATGATGAATGGCGGGCGAGCTGGAAAAGAGAAGAAGGAAAGCTCAATGCCGTGCAACTGGATCCCACAAAACAAGAATCTCTGCTATAGAGTACTCTGCTTTCACATTAAAGAGGACCGTCCATCAGACACGTTCTGTAATGTTTGATGTATGCGGTACGTAGTGTGAAGGCCTCATTCACAGAGGCGGTAAAAATGGGCAGTTCAGCAGCATTTTCAAAGCCTAACAAGGTAATCAGAGGGAATCGCACGCATGCCATGGCCGCAATGCTTTGCGCACATCACGCCAAGTTTAACTTGGCTGCTTGATTTTCGCAGGCGGCACCACCACCTCAGTGAAGTCAATGGAACTGCGCAAAATGCTAGGATCGCAGTTACCGTGTGTCAGTTCTATGTACAGATTGTCAAAAAAAAAAATAAGGTACTTAGCAGGTGGCAGTTCTCTTTTTAGAACCCTAAGAGGAATATACACTCACCAGCCACATTGTTAGGCACACCTAATGTACTGTAACTAAGAAAATCTCCCCACAACTTGACACCACCAGCCTGAACCACTGATACAAGGCAGGATAGATCCCCCACACCATGACACCACCACCAGCCTGAACCGGTGATACAAGGCAGGATGGATCCCCCACACCATGACATCACCAGCCTGAACCATTGATACAAGGCAGGATGGATCCTCCACACCATGACACCACCACCACCAACCTGAACCATTGATACAAGGCAGGATGGATCCACCACACCATGACACCACCACCACCAGCCTGAACCGGTGATACAAGGCAGGTTGGATCCACCACACCATGACACCACCACCACCACCAGCCTGAACCATTGATACAAGGCAGGATGGATCCACCACACCATGACACCACCACCACCAGCCTGAACCGTTGATACAAGGCAGGATGGATCCACCACACCATGACACCACCACCACCACCAGCCTGAACCGGTGATACAAGGCAGGTTGGATCCACCACACCATGACACCACCACCACCACCTGAACCGGTGATACAAGGCAGGTTGGATCCACCACACCATGACACCACCAGCCTGAACCATTGATACAAGGCAGGATGGATCCACCACACCATGACACCCACCACCACCAGCCTGAACCATTGATACAAGGCAGGATGGATCCACCACACCATGACACCACCACCACCAGCCTGAACCGTTGATACACAGGCAGGATGGATCCACCACACCATGACACCACCACCACCAGCCTGAACCATTGATACAAGGCAGGAGGGATCCACCACACCATGACACCACCAGCCTGAACCATTGATACAAGGCAGGATGGATCCATGCTTTATGTTGTTTACGCCAAATTCTGACCCTACCATCTGAATGTCGCAGCTGAAATCCAGACTCATCAGACCAGGCAATGTTTTTCCAATCTTCTGTTGTCCAGTTTTGGTGATCCTGTGTGAATTGTAGCCTCCTTTTCCTGTTCTTAGCTGACAGGAGTGGCACCCGGTGTGGTCTTCTGCTGCTGTAGCCCATCTGCTTCAAGGTTGGATGTGTTGCGCATTCAGAAATGGTATTCTGCATACCTTGGATGTAACGAGGGGTTATTAAAGTTTCTGTTGCCTTTCTATCATCTGGAACCAGTCTGCCCATTCTTCTCTGACATCAACAAGGCATTTTCCTCCACACAACTGCCACTCACTGGATATTTTCTCCTTTTCGGACCTCTGTAAACACTAGAGATGGTTGTGCGGGAAAATCCCAGTAAATCAGCAGTTTTTCGATATACTCAGACCAGCCCGTCTAGCACCAATAACCATGCCACGTTCAAAGTCTCTTAAATCCCCTTTCCTCCCCATTCTGATGCTCGGTTTGAACTTCAACAAGTCGTCTTCACCACATCTAGATGCCTAAATGCATGAAGTTGCTGCCATGTGATTGGCTGATTAGCAATTTATGATACCAAGCAATAGAACAGGTGGACCTAATAAAGTGGCCGGTGAGTGTGTAGTCTTGCAGAGATCACAGTACTCCTCACAATGCTTATATCTGCTCTTGTCTCCAGAAGGATAGCCCCATCTTTTATTAGGCATCATCCAGAGTCCCCATCTACTTCCTGGACTCAGAGATAACTAAATGCTGGTGCTTGTGCAGTTCTCGCTTCCTCATTATACATTACACCAGGGGTCTCCAAACATTTCAAACAAAGGGCCAGTTTACTGTCCGTCAGACTTTACGGGGGGCCGGATTGTGGCCAGTGGAAGTAGAAAATGTTCCGGGCCCACCATTAGTGAGAATAAAAATGGCCTCATGGTTGGTGGTCAGTAGGAGGAGGAGTAGTGCCCTATCCCTGGTATTAGTGGGAGCAGTGATGCCCCATCACTAGTGTCAGTGGCAGGAGTTACGCCCCACTGTTGGTGTCAGTGGGGGGTAGAGTGCCTCGTATCATCGGTGGGGGGGAATGTTCTCCAAGGGCCAGGTAAAGACTAGCAGAGGGTTGCATCTGGCCCTCGGGCCGCAGTTTGGAGACCACTGCACTGTACAATCTGATTGTACAATCCCCTTTAGATTTCTACTACTGTCTACTATGTATAGAGGCAGCACTAGGTTGGTGATTGGGGGCGCTATAGCACCCCCAAAAATTCTCATAGCACCCCCATCAGCAGCCGCCCCAGGCGCCATGGAGAAAAGATTCACGATTTGGAGCCCAGGTTTCCTGCTTGTTGTGATGACCGCAGGTAGACTGCAGACTGGGCCCCTGATACAAGGAACACTCCCCCCCCCCCCCCAGCAGGGTTTCTCCAACCTGTAAATGTCCAGAGACATACACAGCAGTCCAATGGGGGGGGGGGGGGGCCTCAGACAGGGAGAGCACTCATCTGATACTTAGCCAGTCAGGCTGTGTCTATTCTGCACCCCTCCCCATTCCATCAAATTTTGACTTTGGGCATTTGCAGAGAGAGGAAGAAGCCAGTGAGAGATACTCAGCTCCTCAGAGCAGGCATGCCATAGAAGAGGGAAACGGGCAGCTGAGGGTGGAGTAATATTTGTGGTGGAGAAGCATTACTGGTGGAGTAATGTAATTCTGGGTAACCACTTCGGGACCACCAGCCTGCAATGTACTGCAAATGAGCAGCCCGTGCAGACACAGCAATGTACTGGTACTGTTACTACTGCCTGCACCCCCCCCCCCCCCCTGGTGACACCCACTGTGATTGTACACAGTGGGAGTCAGCAAATCTCAGCCATTGATTCATGGCTGGGACCTGCTGATCAGCTGTGTCCAATCACAGCCCAGAGCCACTTACTGACAATCAGGGATGAGAAACGTAGAGATCTATTAGTAAAAGCAGCACACAGTACACATTGTTAGGCGCACATTTAACCCCTTGATCGCCCCCAGACGTTAACCCCTTCCCAGCCAGTGTCATTAGTACAGTGTATAGCATTATCACTGATCACTGTATTATTGTCACTGGCGATGTCAGCGGCAGTCTTCAGTCCTCCCACCAGCATCAGTTAGTGTCGGATTGCCCACCGCACTATTGCAGTCCCACTATAAGTCACTGATAATGCCATTAGTAGTATAAAACCCCCCCCCCAAAAAAATTCCAATACTGTATATATCTTGTAGTAGGCACTATAACTTTCACACAAACAAAACAATATACATATATTGGGATTTTTTTTTTTTTTTTACCAAAGACATGGTGCAGAATACATAGATTGCCAAAATCTATGAAGAAATTTTCAAATATTCAATAGAGAAGATGGGACTTTCCGGGTGCATGAACATGAATACCAAACATATTAAAAGGTTATATAATTTTTATTTTGTATTTTTATAAAAAAAAAACAACAAAAAAGGAAAAAATACAGAAACATAAAAACAATTTCAGTACTTAGAGTAAAACTGAGAAATTTGATTTTTTCAATTTTTTTCTATTGGATATCTTTTATAGAGAGTAAAAAAAATAATGTAGGGTTTTTTTTTTAATTTTTGTTTATATATCGCAAAAAAAAATTAAAAATCCAGTGGTGATCAAATAACACCAAAGAAAGCTTTATTTGTGAGAAAAAAAAATTATATAAAATTAGTTTGAGTAAAGTGTTGCATGACCGCACAATTACCAATTAAAGTAGTGCAGTGCTGAATAGCAAAAAAAAATGCCCTGGTAATGAAGAGGGGGTAAAACCTTCTGGAGGTGAAGAGCTAATATACAGTGGCGTCCTGAGGCAGGAGCGGGGGGTGACACCTACCGCACGGGGTGACACCGGACCCGCTCCACGAAAAGGTAAGTTGTAAAGCAAGCCGACGATCCCCGCAGGATGGATCGGATCTGCGGATTGAGCATAATGGATCAGACTCCGATCCATTATGCTCCCCAATTCGCTGATCCATCCTGCGGGGATCGTCGGCTTGCTTTACAACTTACCTTTTCGTGGAGCGGGTCCGGTGTCACCCCGTATAGGTTGCATCCCGACGATCCCCGCAGGATGGATGGGATCTGCGGATTGGGGAGCATAATGGATCGGACTCCAATCCATTATGCTCAATCCGCAGATCCGATCCATCCTGAGGGGATCGTCGGAGGGGGTGTCACCAAGTGTTACCGCACTGGGTGACACCAACCCTAAGGACGCCTCTGGTTATATACATTGTTCAGCGGTTACCGTTTACTTTGTATTTATTCTGTTTCATTCCTCTGAAAATAAATACATCTCTGCGGTCACGGATGTTTCCCGCACCGCCTCATGGCCTCTAACAGACATCTGTGGGAAGTGACTTACATCTCAATTGTTTGGCGATCCCTTTTGTAAACTCCAACCAGTGCTGAAAAAAAATCAAAAGAGAAGACACATAACTAAAAACCTGGCGCATCACGATTATTGGACCACATTATTAGCACATTACAGAGTTTTATCCTAATTGCCATTTCACGACATCCTAGAACTATAAAATAGGAATGAACATCAAACAAGCGCGTCCATTTAACGCGTTCACACCGGGGAAATGCAGTCATTTTTTTTTTTTTTTTTAAATTCAAGTTGAAAATCAGAAGACAGATACATTTTTATAACTCTGCTGCCCCCTACTGGCTGTACTATGGAATTAATGTTGGCGCAGCTTGGACTGAGCAACTGCAATTCCCAAAATAGATGACAAGTACCGGGTTCACATACGTGAGGGGCCAGATTTAGTATGATTTTTTTTTTTTTTTAAGGATTATGGTGCGGTTTGGTTCACGGTTCAGGTGCAAATTTGTAAAGTGTATTGAAAATTCACCTGAACCGGAGTGAAAATTGTACAGGACTCTAAAAACAGCCACACATACACTATATTGCGAAAAGTATTGGCCCCCCCTCCAAATCATGTGATTCAGGTGTTCCAATCCCCTCCCAAACATGTGATTCAGGTGTTCCAATCCCCTCCCAATCGTGATTCAGATGTTCCAATCCCCGCAATCCCAATCATGTGACTCAGGTGTTTCCAATCCCCTCCATATCATGTGATTCCATATCAGGTGTTTCCAATCCCCTCCATATCATGTGATTCAGGTGTTCCAATCCCATCCCAATCGTGATTCAGGTGTTCCAATCCCCTCCCAATCATGTGATTCAGGTGTTCCAATCCCCTCCCAATCGTGATTCAAATGTTCCAATCCCCTCCCAATCATGTGACTCAGGTGTTCCAATCCCCTCCATATCATGTGATTCAGGTGTTCCAATCCCCTCCATATCATGTGATTCAGGTGTTCCCCTCCAATCCCCTCCCAATCATGTGACTCAGGTGTTCCAATCCCATCCCAATCATGTGATTCAGGTGTTCCAATCCCATCCCAATCATGTGATTCAGGTGTTCCAATCCCCTCCCAATCATGTGATTCAGGTGTTCCAATCCCATCCAACCCATCCCATGTGATTCAGGTGTTCCAATCCCCTCCCAATCATGTGATTCAGGTGTTCCAATCCCCTCCCAATCATGTGATTCAGGCGTTCCAATCCCCTCCCAATCATGTGATTCAGGTGCTCCAATCCCCTCCATGGACACAGGTGTATACAATCAAGCCCCTAGGCATGCAGACGGCTTCTACAAACATTGGTGAAAGAATGGGTCGCTCTCAGGAGCTTAGTGACTCCAAGCGTGGTCCCGTGATAGGTGGCCACCTGGGCAATAAGTCCATCCGTGACATTTCCTGGCTACTAAATATTCCACGCTCAACTGTTAGTGGGATTATAACAAAGTGGAAGCAACTGGGAACAACAGCCACTTAGCCACCAAGTGGTAGGCCACGTCACATGACAGGGCGGGGTCAGCGCATGCTGAAGCGCACAGTGCGCAGAAGTCGCCAACTGTCTGCAGAGTCAATAGCTAAAGACCTCCAAACTTGGTGTGGCCTTCAGATGAGCCCAAAACAGTGCGTAGAGAGCTCCGTGGAATGGGTTTCCATGGCCGAGCAGCTTCATCCAAGCCTTCCATCACCAAGTGCAATGCAAAGCGTCGGATGCCGTGGTGTAAAGCATGCCGCTACTGGACTCTAGAGCAGAGGAGGTGTGTTCTCTGGAGTAACCAATCACACTTCTCTGTCTGGCAATCCGATGGACGTGTCTGAGTTTGGCGGTAGCCAGGGGAATGGTACTTGCCTGACTGCATTGTGCCAAGTGTAAAGATTGGTGAAGGGGGGATTATGGTGTGGGGGTTGTTTTTCAGGGGTTGGGCTTGGCCCCCTAGTTCCAGTGAAGGGAACTCTTAAGGTGACATTTTGGACAATTTCATGCTCCCAACTTTGTGGGAAGAGTTTGGGGATGGCCCCTTCCTGTTCCAACATGACTGCCCACCAGTGCACAAAGCAAGGTCCATGAAGACATGGAGGAGCCAGTTTGGGGTGGAGGAACTTGACTGTCCTGCACAGAGTCCTGACCTCAACCCCATAGAACACCTTTGGGGAAGATGAATTAGAGCGGAGACTGCGAGCCAGGCCTCCTCCTCCCCCCCCCGACATCAGTGCCTGACCTGACAAATGTGCTTCTGGAAGAATGGTCCAACCTTCCCATAGACACCCTCCTAAACCTTGTGGACGGCCTTCCCAGAAGAGTTGAAGCTGTTATAGCTGCAAAGGGCAGGGCCCAACTCAATATTGAACCCTAGGGACTAAGACTGGGGGGGGGCATTAAAGGTCATGTGTGTGGAAAGGGCGGGGCCAACTCAATATTGAACCCTACGGACTAAGACTGGGGGGCCAATAAAAGTCATGTGTGTGGAAAGGGCGGGGCCAACTCAATACTGAACCCAAGGACTAAGACTGGGGGGCCATTAAAGGTCATGTGTGTGGGAAGGGCGGGGGCCAACTCAGCCCAATAAGACTGGGGGCAAAAGGTATAGTGTACTCACAAAGAATCATACAAATATACATCAAATTAACACACACGCACTGTACATAAGAGTATCATGAACATTAACAGGCACTGTACATACAGAGTATCACGCACACGCAATACTGGGACATACATAGTATCACACACACGAATCATACATACAAGTATACGCACTGTACATAAGAGTATCACACACGCACTGTACATACAGAGTATCATGAACATGCACACGCACTGTACATACAGAGTATCACGCACACGCACTATACATACAGAGTATCACGCACACTGTAATACATACAGAGTATCACACACACGCACTGTACATACATAGTATCACGCACACACTGTACATACAGAGTGTCATGCACACGCACTTTACATACAGAGTATTCTGCACACGCACTTTACATACAGAGTATCACACACACGCACTGTACATACAGAGTATCACACACACGCACTTTACATACAGAGTAATCACGCACACGCACTGTACATACAGAGTATCACGCACACGCACTGTACATACAGAGTATCACACACATGCACTGTACATACAAAGTATCACGCACACACGCACTGTACATACAGAGTATCACGCACTGTACATACAGAGTATCACGCACACGCACTGTACAAAGTATCACGCACTGTACATACAGAGTATCACGCTCACGCACTGTACATACAGAGTATCATCACGCACTGTACATACAGAGTATCACGCACACATGCACTGTACTACAACAGAGTATCATGCACACACGTACTGTACATACAGAGTATCACGCACACGTACTGTACATACAGAGTATCACGCACACGTACTGTACATACAGAGTATCACGCGGTGACAGGTGGCCTCACTCACCCTCTGCTTGTCAGGATCTACATATCGGATTCCGAAGTAATCTTTCTCCAGCAGGTTCAGATGGTGACACAGGAGGTCGAACAAGTGCTGGCCCTTCGCATCTCTCTGTGAAGAAGGAAGAACACGTGTGATTGGTTCGTTGTCAATTCCCAGCCGTGGCATTTCCTTCCTGCCCCCCACAGTCTACAAGACAGAACACGGGCCCTTCATTCCCATAGCATGGTGGCCCCGGCTCCCACCGAAGCTGCCCCCTAACTGACATCTACAGCTAAGAGCCCACGGACTCCATTCACCGATCGGCGTCTCATGGCCCCCGAACACGTCACAAGATAAATTCACTAAAAACTCGCTACTGAAATACGGCATCCGCCGCTATATGACGTCATGGCGCAATTTATGATTCTTCCCCCCAGGACAGCACTACATAGAAAAATCCTAATTCAAATGGATACTGCGCTAGGGGCACATTATGAGCACTATGGGGACACACACCTCTGAAAAGCGATCAAAAACTGAAAATAAAACACTGTAATAGTTGAACTAAAGTGCAAACCTATTGCCCTATGAAGACCCTCACCCCTCTGAAGGGCGATCAAAATTTGAAATAAATTGATTGAATACACAGAGTACAGTAATCATAAAAACGTGTGAGCAACCGTGATATGCGGTCAAAGTAACCTAAAATATCATGCATGATCTAGGAGCCCTATGAAGACCCTCACCGCTCAGAAGAGCGATCGAGGCGGAGAATAGGTCAAATCTCAATGTGCTAAAAAATTCACCTCAAATATACATAAAGGTTAGTCGAAATATCAAAAAAAAAAAAAAAACAATAACAAAAAGTCCACATAGACATGAACCATAGCCAATAAGTCCTCACGCACACGGGACGTTTTACAGCAGCAGTTCTTGGCGTTTGGTGTGTTTTTTCTGCAGCCAGTAACCCCCCCCCCCCCCCCCCCGTGTTATCCCATGTGTCCGTGCGCACAACGACAGCCAAAAAATCAACATTTTTTGGCTGAAAAACAAAAAAACAAAACTAGCGGGTTTCTAGAGGAGTTTTTTAGCTGTAAAAATACTCTAACGCTGAAAAAAACGCAGCAAAAACGCCGCAAACCAGCGTTTTTGGACATGTTTTTGTACCAAAAAAATTATTATTTTTTGGTTAAAAAAAAAAAAGCGCTAAAAAATGCAAATGCGAGAAAGCGCCGCTAATCGTGGCAAAAAAGCGTGATGACGTCAGAGGGAGGCTCCGCCTGACATGTTTCGTCATTAAAAGACGTCCTCTAGGGCTAGAGTAGCCCCCCAACCACAAAGCACCTTGTCGCCATGTTAATGAGGACAAGGGCCTCTTCCCCAGAACCCTGGCCAGTGGTTGTGGGGTTCTGCGGATGGGGAGGGCTTACATGCCCTCAACATGGGGAGGGGGTGTTGGGGCAGGGGGGCTCCCCCTTACCAAAGCACCTTGTCCCCATGTTAATGAGGACAAGGGCTTTCCCCAGAACCCTCCCCATGTTAATGATGGGGGACAGGGGGGGGCTCCCCCTTACTTGTCCCCCCATGTTAATGAACCCTCTTCCCCAGAAACCCTGGCCGGTGGTTGTAGGGATCTGCGGGTGGGGAGGGCTTACATGCCCCCAACATGGGGGGGTTCAGAGTTTGGACAGGGGGGCTCCCCCTTACCAAAGCACCTTGACCCCATGTTAATGAGGACAAGGGCCTCTTCCCCAAAACTCTGGCCGATAGTTGTGGGGTTCTGCAGGTGGGGAGGGCTTATCAGAATCTGGAAGCCCCTTCTAACAAGGGGGCCCCAAGATCCTGCCCCCCCCCCAGCCACTGTTAGGAGGATGAGGCCCTTGACTTCATCAACATGAGGAAAAGCTGCTTTGGGAAGGGGGAGCCCCCCTCCATGTTGAGTGCATATGGTCTGGTTTGGTTCAGAAGTAGGGGCGCTCGCTCATTCCACCCCCCCCCCCCCATTCCTGACCGGCATGCTCAGATAAGGGTCCAGTATGGATTTTGGGGGGGACCCCACACTAGTTTTTTTTTTTCAATTCTGGCGCTTTTTTTTCAGCAATTCTTTTCTTTACATTCAGCTGACAATGGGGAACCTCGCCGACAGCAGATGACTCATCGGTTGTTAAGGACGCGGCGGCCACCTGCTCCTTGGCAACCAGTTAAAATCATACACCTTCCTCACATTCCGCATTCCTGGAGCGCGACTTAATTACAGCATGCATGTCATTATTTATTTCCTTCTGCGAAGCGCGTTGTGTGCGACGTTTATCGAGTGTTTTTCAGCGGTACGCATGACTTGCGCGCACAGACACAGAAAACGAACAGATATTTCTTCACAATACACAAAAGGTCGGAATCTGCAACATACCCACATGGAAGAAAAAATAGATGTGAAATATATTTTTTAAATATTCTTCCCAAATATACTGACACATATTTGAGATGCTACAATTTTGGCCGTATTCCATTTATTTCTAAATATATGTAACTAACTAAATAAAAAAATAAATTAAAAATGTTTTATATATATTGCATTTTGAAATGCATTTTTTATATCTGAAAAATATTTTTTTAAATATATATATTTTTTTAAATATATTCTTCAAATTTTATTTTTTTTTACATATAAAAAAGTAATATTAACATATATTTTTACATATATTTGTAAATGCATTCCAAAAATATAGATTTGCATTTTTTAAAGATATACAGTATATTTGAAATGTTTTTTTTAAAAAATATTGTTCATATATTTATATATTTTGTAATAAAAATGCCTTTCAACATGCAAAATAATAAATTCGAGATATATATATATATATATATATAATATACACATACATACATACACACATACACACACACACACATACATACATACACACATACACACACACATACATACATACATACATACATACATACAACACTGCGTGTTGAAATGTGTTTTTTATATATATTACAAACTATATGAAAACTATTTTTAAAAATATATATTTTTTTAAATATATTTTTCAGATTTTTTTTTTAACATATAAAAAGTATTTTTAACATATATTTTTACGTATTTGCCGGGCGTATAAGACGACTTTTTTACCCCTTGAAAAATCTTCTCAAAAGTCAAAAAGGGGGTCGTCTTATACGCCGGTATAAACAGCATACTGACACTTTTTTAGTGGGGCGGGGCGCGGTGCTGCCGCTGCCCCCCCCCCTTCCAACGGAAGGGACACTAAGTGCAGGGGCTGTTTCTTACCTGGCTCCAGTCCCACGACGATCCGGTCCAGGAAGCGCGGCTGTTCCTTCAGTACGGCCACTGGATGTTCGCGCGCGGCCTGCTTGGCTCCGCCTCCTCACCGGTGATTGGCCGCCAAGAAACTGTAGCTCAGGAAAGGCACACAGGCGGCCAATTACCGGCGAGGGGGCAGAGCCGAGAGGCCCCGCGAAAATCGAGTGCAGGACCAGCAGGTAAGTGTTCAGTGTAGAGGTGCTAAACATGCTGCAACTACATATGCTGGCTACAGCAGCACCATACTAGAACAGGGTCAGCAAGTGTCAGTGAGAGGAATAGTGCCCCATCATTGGTGTCACTGACACCAATGATGGAGCACTATTCCTCCCCACTGACACCAAGGATAGGGCACTATTCCTCCCACTGACACCAACGATGGGGCACTATTCCTCCCCCCCACTGACAAAAAAAACGATGGGGCACTATTCCCCCCCCCACTGACACCAATGATGGGGCAACTATTCCACCCCCCCACTGACACCAATGATGGGGCACTATTCCTTCCACTGACACCAATGATGGGGCACTATTCCCACACACTGACACCAATGATGGGGCACTATTCCTTCCCACTGACACCAATGATGGGGCACTATTCCTCCCACTGACACCAACGATGGGGCACTATTCCTCCCCCCCACTGACACCAACGATGGGGCACTATCCCCCCCCCCCACTGAACACGAGACCAATGAAGGGGGCACTATTCCTCCCACTGATACCAATGATGGGGAGCACAATCAGGCAACTCCTCCCACTGACACCAATGATGGGGCACTATGCCTCCCCACTGACCACCAAATGATGGGGCACGATTCCTCCCACTGATACCAATGATTGGGGCACTATTCCTCCCACTGACACCAATGATGGGGCACTATTCCTCCCACTGACACCAATGATGGGGCACTATCCTCCCACTGACACCAATGATGGGGCACTAATTCCCCCCACTGATACCAAATGATGGGGCACTATTCCCCCACTGTTTACCAATGATGAGGCACTATATTCCCTCCACTGACACCAATGATGGAGCACTATTCCTCCCACTGACACCAATGATGGGACACACTAATATCCCCCCACTGACACCAATGATGGGGCACTATTCCTCCCACTGACACCAATGATGGGGCACTATTCCTCCCACTGACACCAATGATGGGGCACTATTTCCTCCCACTGACACCAACGATGGGGCACTATTCCTCCCCCCCACTGACACCAACGATGGGGCACTATTCCTCCCACTGATACCAATGATGGGGCACTATTCCTTCCACTGACACCAACTAATGATGGGGCACTATTCCTCCCACCTGACACCAATGATGGGACACTAATCCTCCCACTGATACCAATGATGGAACACTATTCCTCCCACTGACACCAATGAAGGGGCACTATTCCCCCCACTGATACCAATGATGGGGCAATATTCCTCCCACTGACACCAATGATGGGGCACTATTCCTCCCACTGACACCAATGATGGGGCACTATTCCTCCCACTGACACCAATGATGGGGCACTATTCCTTCCACTGACACCAATGATGGGGCACTATTCCTCCCACTGATGTGCATTGGAAGAGGGGTAGTATCTTATACGGCGAGTAAATAGCCCAAACACACTACATTTTTAGCAGGAAAAGTAGGGGTCGTCTTATACGCCGGCAACAAATACGGGTATATTTGTAAATGCGTTCCAAAATGTAAATTTGTATTTTTTTAAAGACATACAGTATATTTGAAAATATTTTAAAAAAATATTGTTCATATATTTTTGTAATAAAATCGCATTTCAACATGCAAAATATACTTTGATAAATAAATATATAATATATTCATAC